AGATTAAAACTACTGCAGTACAGTTTCATTTCATTGACCACGCAAGACGACTTAATGACCTCGTTTAGAGATTTCAGCTTTTCTGTCAACTCGTCGGATTTGGCACCTYTTACCGTATCGTACACGTTCAACAGGTCATCATAATTCCTGAAGATGGACGACAACATGTCAATGTAAAAAGGGATGACGTACCCGAGCATATTTAACCGCATCTGTAACTGATCATGGTCTTGACGTTCGATCAGGCTAATCATCATTGCCAAGTGGAAGGCCACGCGCTTGTACGTCAGGCACATGATTGACTTCCCGACGATGGTCAGGCTCACGTTCAGGTTTTCACCCGAATAGTATGGATGGGGTGTGTGAAGCGCATGAAGTGACACCAACGGGTCGACGTTATTGAGGTCCTTCACCATTTCACCGATTCGTTTTGGCAACTTGTCGTTGGTTTTTTCCAGTATCACCTTCTCCGACAGTATGTCATTGTGCAGTTTGTCCTCGAATAGGATCATATCGATTAGCTGCTTCAGCTGCGAAATGGTCGGTGAGCAAAATGCGCACCGATTTGTGACGAGTACAGTCAGGACTAGCGTCAACCAGAGGACGGGTAAATGGCGCATTGTCGCCGTCGGCGGTTAGGGTACGTTGAGATTCAGACGAACGGACGTCACGGAAACACGTTCTAACAGCTTACTACTCCATCGCCTTCGAATTTTTATTTGTGTGTCGGCGTTGCGTATTCGGCTCACAGGTGTTTTCTAAAACCTGTGTATACATGTGCCTGCGTACGTTTATTCATAGCTCACGACGAGGATAATTGTAAATTGGGTTTCTTGTAAAAAAATGTGTTGTTCCTACAAAGTAAACAAGCGAAACAACAACGTTAACGAGCAGCGAGCTATCGCATATTTTTTTTTTTGCATCGGTATTTCATGAAGAACAAAAATTCAAAACTATTGTTTGACGATTTTGAATATATTTTATAACCTCCCCTTCTATTAAGATTTCACCAAGATGACAAAACGAATAGAAAAATAAATCATAATCACGTTCTATAATATTTTTCTTAATTTTTTTTT